TCGTCCGGACCGGACTCTTTGCCCCGAAACGCCACGGGGCGGGAAAATTTGTTTGGCCAGGGAAGATGCGAAGAAGAAAACACCCGGAATTGTCGGCAAAGTTCGGTACCTTCCTTATTTATCGGCTAAAGGACTCGTTTCTTGGCTTTTGTCTGCGTTTGGAATAATTCGAAGGAAGACGAAATACCGCGCTCTCCCACTCCACGCCTTTCTTTCTACGGATCCACTTTCGGCGCTCTTCGAAAAGGAAGGAGTCGCGCCGAAAACACCCACCTACGGATCGGAAACCGTCGGGGATCCTTTCCACCCTTTTCCCTTCGGAACGGAAAGCGTCCATTTCGTAGTCTTTCGGTCCTCTCTCCTCTTCTTTCGCTCTCTTCCCCCTCCATCTCCCTCTTCCGTTTTCTTCTAAATTTGCCATTTTCCTAAACATTAGAGAGGTTGCGGCCGACGTTTTCGACGCGAAAACTCGTACGTCGGACGTTCAGCGCCGCCTTCCTGTAAGCCTAGAAGTTCGACAATGGCGTTTGGAAAGTCGAGCTATTCACGTTCCAAACTTCTAGGCTCACGGGAAGGCGGCGCTGAACGTCCGACGTACGAGTTTTCGCGTCGAAAACGTCGGCCGCAACCTCTCTATTTTTCCGGTAAAATCGGAAAAATGCAATCCTCCGGAAGTCGGCAACCGTTCCCGGACCCGACGGAAAATTCGTACCCACAAAAGTTACACGTTGCAAATTTCGTCTGGACCACGAAAGTAAAACGAAAAGAGTAGAAGGCGTTGGGTGGTCGTCCTTCCGGCAGGACACTTCGAACTTATTAAAGGTGCCTAACCAGTGGCGTAACGTGGGGTCAGCCGCCCGGGGCGGAGGAAAATTACGGCCCCCTTTATTTAGGTATTTCAATTTAAAAGACCAAAATTCAGTTTTGTCACAGAACAAGCAATGAAAAATTCGGTGGTAGTGCAGCGACCTGTTTAAAATAGTTCTGTTGGATATTGGTGGTGTATATGAACGCGAATGAATCGTACAAGCAAACAAAAAAAAAATGGTCAACGGGTTTCGCAGGATTTCCTCGGATGAAAAAATTACCGATTGCCGGACTGTCCGGACGATAGCACTATCGTAGGCGCCATGCGAGTATACATTAGGATGTTTCAAATTTTTACAAAATATTATTATTATTTATTGTGAAATTTTGCCGCCCCCTAAAAAGCGCCCCCACTACGGACGCCACTGTGCCTAACCGGGAAAGCGATGGGCGGTGTCCAGGGTATTTCCCTGCTCGCCAACGACCAGAGTTTTCAAATTCCTCTTCGCAGACTTCCAATTGGAAAACTTCCCACCGTTTCGGTTCCTGGCCCGGAAACTTCCGGTTTTGCAACAAGAACCCGGACGGGTGGCCTCTTCTCCGCATCCGCCAATTTCTCCCCTCCGCGGGGCCGTCTTCCTATCGTTCGGTCCTTCCTTTACTCCCTTAACCCGGAAAACAGAAATCGTCATTCTTACGATTATCGTCCGTCCTTTCCCCTTCGCGACGTCGCGTGGGGGCGGAGTAGCCGCCACCCCGCCAAAATCGACCGAAGGATCGATACGTTTCCGATTTCCTCCTCTTCCTACGTTTTCTTTACTAATTCCCGGTGTATAATAATTAAAGGCCGCCGGCGCCCCTCGATTAGAAAAAAAGACAGAGAAAAAGAAGGGGAAGAGTAGGCCCGCCGACCTCCGCCGGCATACGACGGTCGGACCGAAACGGCGGCCAAACCGTCTTCCGGTCTTCCTCTCTCACCGCATCGTCGGTGAGATATTTGAATTCCGGTGAATTTCCGGACAGTTGGAAATTCACGCGCGACTAATCTCCCGAGGATCACACGGTCACGTTCACTCGATTTTCCACGTCTGTTTGACCTCGGGGTCGACGGGAAACCGGTTTTCGGTTTCGGCCTAGGCAAATGCGGAGTCGGCGCCGCAGTTTTTGGCGGGCGCCCCCCCCCCGACGCCACGCGCGCGCCGGTCCCGGAAGAAAACTCTCCTCGGAAGTAGGACCGGCGGAAGAGGGAGAGCTCCGGCGGCGGGGTCCTCCTCTCGCCCTTCCCGCGCGCCAAACGTCGGTAACTAGCGAATTTCCTGAAAAACGGGCCAATAAACGCTCACCCCCGGGCGGGGTGGTCTTCCGCCGAGGGAAAGCCCCGGGCTCCCTCCCACCGGCCGATCGGAATTCGAATAAACCCGTCGACCACGTCCACGAAAATAGCGCGATTTACGGGGGAGGGAGATTCGGAGGTGGAGGGACGGGAATCTCCCAAACCGGAGGTTTACTTTACCCCCGAAAGCGCGGCTTATGGTCGGTAACGATTAACGGCGATTAAAGGGGAGAAGCAGTTTGGAGTTTGGCGGAGGGGGAAGAGTAAAACGCGATCTCGTGCAGAAATCGGAGGCGGAGGAAAAGCGTGCGCGCGGAGATTCTTCGACCGGGCGTCATTAGGAGGGCGCTCGGCCGGCTATTTCGTTTTAGCACCGGGCCCGGTGGCCGGCCGGATTATAAACTTCGCTAACCGTGACGTGACGGACTAGCGTGAGCCAGGGCGGACGCGCTCCGGCGCACGCTCTCCGCACCGCCCCCGCCCGACCTCTCCCGCAGCCGGCGCGTCGATATTAACGGCCGAGCGGCGGAAGCCCGCGCGCGGGGCCGGCCGACCCCGTCCGGCGCGCTCCCGAAATACCCTAACGACGCGTTACCTGGGGCCGGGACCGCGCCCCACTCCTTCCGCCGGAAGATTTGTCTCCCTCCCATTCGGGCGGGAGACAAATCCGATGGGATTCCCCTATCGGCGGAAGGAGGAAACTGTCCCGGGCGGGTCCTTTAAAATACGAAATTCTACTCGGCATTCGGACGACGTAATAACCGGTAGGAGGCAAAAACGGAGGAAAGCGACGATAAATAAGCGCCGAGACAAACATATTTGGCGGGCAGAGAAACAAGGGCTTTCGTTTACACGCCTATAGGAACAGGAAAATGATAGGAACGAGTATAACAACTTTTAAATAAGAGTACGGCCAAACAACTGCCCTAGAAATTACCGGGCGGAATAATAACGAGTACGAAAGATTTTATCCATTTCTCCTTCCTCCGAATCGTTATAAAAAGAAGCATCCCCAACACCCGTTTCTGCCGCGTGGCAAAGCGAAACTAAATAAGGCCACCACCCGGTCCCGGGTTCGTTCCCGGCTGGATATTTCCGGGCGCGCCGCTCCGAATTCTTCCTCTTCCTTTCCGTTCTTCTAATTACGGCCATTTAGACCCGGAGCCGAACCGGTGATAATTAGGGAGGGGGAGAGGAATTCCCGAGTCCCGGGGCGCGTTTTCCCCGCCGACGGAAAAAAAAGGATCCGGATGGGTTCCGCCACCCGGGAAAGACGGAAACTATCCGTCTCCCGGTCGGAAACTTTTCGCCATTTCCCCCTCGGGAGCGGCTAAGGCCGGAGGGCCTCCCCTTCGACCAGGCGGAGGGAGCCCTAAACTGGCGGGCGGCGGTTCTTTGTTTTTGGCGGGAAACGGCGTCTGATTTTGTTTGTTTTGGCGGTCGTCGCGTCGCGCGCGAGAAAAATATTTCGCCGATATTTGGGTCTCGGTGCGAGGATTAGGATTTCCCGGCCAACGTCTAGACAGTGTAGGTGATGGGAAAATTTCCGCTTTCTCCTTCCAGACCGTCTGACGTCAATTTCGTCTACCCCTACCCGCCGTCGGTGGACGCCGTTCCGAGGGTCCTCTTCCTCCCTCTTTCCGCACCCCCACCTTTATTCGTTATTCTCCCCGAAACGTTTCCCGCCGGAATACCCTTCGTTTCTGTTTTTTCGACGCTCGGCGGCGGCTCTTCGAAATACGAACGAGAGGTTTCCCTTCCCGGCCAAAGAAAAGATGATCCGCCCAGGCCGAATAGTACGAAAAGGGAGGGGTCTGCCTCACCCGGTTCCCCGGGGCGGTTGTTGGAGGGAGATTTCGCCCTACTCCAGACTACTTATTTCAACTAAACAAAAGCGGTGCGAGTGGGTAGTAAATAATTACGTTCTTATTTTGTGGCAGCGGCCATCGCTACTATTTGAATAAATTGCGATTTAAAAAGAAAATAAAAGCCGGGACGGAGACTTTCCGTCGGAATCCGAGACGGGGTGGCCGGAAGTTTAAAGCGCGCCGCTCCTTAACCCCGGGTGGTTTTTCGTCCCCGGCCAAACTCTTTAAAAGCGTTTTTAAAAATTTACGCGTCGGAAAAACACATTTATTTAATTCTGTCTTCCGCTGCCGTTTTCTCTACGCGCCGACCGAGCTAGAAACAGCTACCTCGGCCCCCCCGAACAAAGGGGGAAGAGTCGCGCTCTAAGTGGAAGGCCGTTTCGGAGCGATTTGTCGCCCGACCCAGCCAGGGGTCGAGACTCGGCCGGAAGACCGGGTAAGGAATTCCTAAGGGGTTAAACACGAGAAACGGATATTCCGACAAAATATCCCGCGATTAGGAATCGAAAATGCACTTTCTTTAGATTTGGACGGCGCCCGACCAAAGTTTTCTCTCTTTCCCAAAAAGTTTTTCCTTCCTTCCCCTGGCTCCTTCCACCCCTCTCCCCTTCCGTCGCTCTTCTTCGTTGCCGAACTAAGAAACCCCAGGAAGAGGTCCGGACTTTTCCGTCCCCCGTCACCCTCCTCCCGTCTAGGAAGGAAAAGGGGGACCGTTCGGGTCTCCCGTCCAATTTTCGGGCAATCGAACCCGAAGACCGCGCGGGTATTTTTTATCGGCGCACTTCCGCCGCCGGAAGCTAGGGGTGACGGGCCGCGGTCGGGGGGAGGCGGAAAAAGCGCGAGAAGAGTAATTAGGAGCGGAGGAGGGAGCGAGAGATGGCAACACGTTGTCGATAATACCTCGGGAGGGAAGTTTTGGACTCGCCCTGCCGTATCGACGGGAGTATCGTCGGAGGTCGGCGATCGATACCAGTCATTACTGCTCGGGAGCTGGTACGCGTCGCACCGCCGGCATACGGTGTGCGGCTCCGGTGTGGCCAGTCCGAGAACAGCTGGCAGCGGCGTGGTCGACGGCCCGGCCACCTCGTCCCTCGGAGCCCGGCACGGGCCTCTGTCTCCGCCTTCGGCCCGACTCAGGTGAGACTCTTTCTCTTTTCTTACCTTTATTTATCTTTCCGACGGCCGATCGACGGCCCGACCCACCTCTCGTCTTTCGCCACCTCGGCCTCTGACCTCGATCCCTTCCCCTGGCCTTCCGGTCTTCTCCCACGCTTTTTAATCCGTCGTCCTAGTCCGGTGGCGCCGGGCCCCCGAGAGGAGCCGGGGTATCGACAATAATAGAGACTAACGGGTGGCGACGCGTTCCCCCACCCGTTAGTCTCCATTATTTATCCACCTTGGACTTTTCGCCCCTCTTCACCTTTCGTCTCGCGCGGTCTCCGACGTCCGCCGGGTGGGCGAATTATTTAGGGAAGCGAAAAATTCTGGCGGCGGTCGCGTTGGGAAAATTTGGGCCGGGCGCGGAATATTTAAACGCGGATTTGTGCGGACCTCCCCGCGGTTGGGGCGAGGAAATAAGGCCGAGTGGAAGAAGCTCGTCCAGGCTTTTGTAACGAGCAATTAATTGCAAATATGCAGACTGGACTGTCCGCGGGGTCGAAGGTCGGAGAAACGAGCGCTATAAAATAGACGGGCTGCGAATCTGCCTTAAAAATCTTCGGTCGGAGATAAGAATAAGAGGGAAAAAAGAAAAGATTCTCCTTAGTGGAATATGACATAACGTTATGTTCCGGCAAGAAAAGGAAAGGTTTATTGTGCTTGGTTGCGAGCGATTTCGTGATGACTAAATAATATCTGTATCCATAGCGACAACCACATCTGCACGTGACAGCTGGTACTTTCCCATTGCTGCCAGTTTTTAGGTAATTTTCTAGTGTACACAAAACTCTTCAAGCTGATGAAGTCTCCCTCCCGGCATGAACGCCTGTAAATGTCACGTACGATGCCAACGCTGCGGAGAAGTATTGCCGGAAAGTCGATCCCTCCGTCCGCCAAGAAAACCTACGCTTTGCGTAACAGTAATTTGCGCGGCGCCCGACTTCCGGTTCTCTTCCTCCCCCCTCTTTGGCCGAAATTCGTCCCTCTCGGGGACCCACCGAAACTTCCCTTCCGGCTCCGGCGGGAGCCGTTGGCGGGAGGGAAGGGCGGCGGCTCCGGCGGGGACGACCCCCCCGGACCGGAAGAAAGAAGAGAGCGCGTGCCGAACGGGACGGGCGGAAAAGGGGGCGGCCGGGTTTTCGGCACGGGGCGTTTACGGCGAATTAAGCCGTTTTACGCCGGGAAGCGGCGAAAGAAAATCGTTTAGACGAAAATTAAGACGGACTAACATCGAATTTCGATTAGCAGAGATATGCGGAGTTAATAAAACATTCCTATCCAATTAGATTAAGACACCTGAGGCAATTTTATTAGAGAGGTGTCAAAATTCCTCTCTCCTCTCGCTTCCCGGCTCCTTCCTCTCCACCTTTATTATTTCGCTCGTCTCTCCTTTTTACACCCTCCTCCCCGACTTCTTTTCTCGTTCCTCCGGCTTTCGGACTTTCCCTCTTTCCAACCGTTTTATTCCCGGAGGGGGACGTAATTAAAACCCGGCAAAAAACGTCCGACCCCGGCCGCGTAATCGATGACCCGAAACCCCCTTTCCCGCTCCGAAATTTTGAAAGGGATCCGCAATCCGGAGGAGGATTCTGGTCGCTGGGTTCCGCTCCCTCCTCTTCTTTGTCGCGGACGTTCTGTTTACGGCTATGGCCGCGTAAGCGATTTTCTTTACCCGAACGTCGTCGCCCTCCTTTAATTTTGCTTGAGAAATTTACTCCGAAAGCAACACCCGGGGGGTTTACGGCATTTGTCTCCGCGGCGACAAAAAAGACAAATACTGGCCGGCGATTTTCCAGCAGCTACGATTTGCAGGAGGATAAGTTGCCAGGGAAGGCTTCCGCCCTCCGCCTTTCCGCGGGAATAAATGTTTTAAAATCATTTTCGCGACTAAATGAAACGAAATTCTACCATTTTGCCCCCAAAGTTTTTCTTTACGGGAATAAGAATTTAATAAAAGTTTGAGTGAGTCATTTATAAAAAATGCATCAGATTTGTTCCTTTGGCAACACTTTAAAAATATATTAGTTTTAGTTTTAAAAGACTTTTAAAGCGTTTATTACGTGCAAACCCCGAGAAATATTTTTAGATCTCTGGCTTCCCCCCGCCAATAAATATCGGCGCAGAAAATAAAAAGGATATCTTTTCTCCAATTAAACACCTCCGCCTCCCCCCCGGCCAAACGTTCCTAAATTTTCGCGCTTGGGCAGATTTCCCGTTGCGTAGAAATTAAGAAGGCGGAAAGGGGAGGCTTCCCGTCGGGGGGTGCGACCGGGGGCGGAAATAACCGTTGGGTGGAAATCCGAAACGATCCGGAAGGGAAAGACGCTTAGTGCCGCCGACCACGCGCGATGTCCCTTTAGTTACGAGAGTGGCCATTGTTCCGAGCGGCACGTGTGTGACACGGCCACGTGGTACGGCCGGTCTGACATAAAAGCGTGATAAATGAGCCTCACGCTAAGTGCGTGAGGGCAAGAAGAAGAGAAGAACAAAAAAGGCGTGACGTAAGAAGCATCTAAAGAAAGTAAAGGGGGAGAAACAGAGAGAGAGAGAGAGAGAGAAAGAAAAAAGGAAGACGGGGGTGGTCGAGTGGAGACCCCGCCAAGATCTGTTCATGTTGGGTCTGTTGTGTAGTATCATTCATATTTCATGAGTGTGCGGCCAGACACCAGATGGCAATAGACGACGTATTATTAGTTCTTCGTGCGGGGAATTCGTGCGGGAGTCGTAACCGTTGCACTCCGGATTAACACCTGTAGACACGTTCGTCACCCTTTGATTAGCAACCTCTTACCGACAAATCAATGCTTTTATCGCGTAATTTGTTTCCCGCCTAAAAACCGATGCCGTTCCGGGCGGAGGACGGAATTTACACGTCTCTTTACGGCAAAATTAAGCGCGGTTAATAACGAAAGAATCGTAAAACGGGCGACGACGAATTTTTAGAGTCCTCCTCCCCACGAATAAAATCCCGCCCGCACCCCAACTCTTTCTTTAATTCTCGTTTAATCGTCTCCCCTCTCCGCCCTCCGCGCCTTCGGCTTCGGCTCCTTCCCACCGCCGTTCTCCGCCAGGAAGAGCGGGGGGGTGTTCCCAGCGAACGGGAGGTAAATTTGGACGGAGGAAGGGACGGGGTAAGAATCGCTGGCAGAAAAGGGTGGTTTTAGAATTAAGAAAAAGAGAGAGAATGGCGCGCTCTAAAATCAGACGTCTTCTATTGATCACATCGATTGGCGATAAACGATTCGTAAGTCCGTCACTTTCGTAACGCGCCCGGTCGTCGACACTTTCTTTTTGTATCGGCTTAAGACGGATTAAATTGGGTGCCGGCCACCAAACGTTTCCCCAACGTCCGATCCGCGCTTTTCTTAAATAGACGTTTCCCCGGAAGAAGGGAATCTCCTCCCACCCCGGGTGGGGGATAAGTCGGTCGGAAGGTGGAAAACGAAATTTGCGAGAGGGGGAAGGCGCAGTCAATTAAATGATTGACGACGATGAATCATTTAATTTTCTTTAGACGAATAACAATTATTTAGTAAACACGGTGTTTTTTCTCCCGTCTCCCTTTGGGTATTATCCGGCGCTGCAGAAATTTATGAGGCGGATCTCGGTTTTGTATTATTTATTCCGGTTTAATATGACGTCGACGTCGTCGTTCGGCAACTTCCTCTCTTTTAATCATTAATAAGTCACAATTGTCTGAAGCCGACATGAAATTTTAACTCGGACTTTCCCGCCGATGGTCGCTGCCTCCGCTCCTCCTCCTCTCGTCGCTTCCGCCTCCCCACGCGTACGCGCGGATCAAGCCGTAGCCGGAAGGGCGGAGGGAAAAGAGGCGAGAAAGTTAAGTCGCCGGGAGGGAGGGAAGGGAGGGAAGGGAGGGGAGGAAGACGCGGTCCCGGCCTGCGTTAATCCCGTTCAGAGTTTGAAATTTTAATCGCGGGGAGTGGGATCCGGCCGAAAAAGGTCGTCGCAGCTCGGTAAATCTGGCCCGGAGAAATCGTCTTAAAAATTAATAAAAGAGCGAGAGGCAGAAAGAAATCATTAAAAATCGACTAATAACATTCAAAACGGGCGGCGATACAACTTTTACTTTCTGCCTCTTTTTTTCCTTGTCGGAGTTAGACAATTTTAAATGGCGAGTTGCGACACGTCTGAGCAGAGTTTCTCCCAGAGAATTAAATCTAGTCTGACATCCGCCAAGAAAACTTCCAGACAACATCAATTACTCCTTTGCTAGATTATGGACCGGCTGCAATTACTACATCGCGCCGGAAAATACTTTTAAAAACTTTACTTTCTCCTCTTGCCGGACGCCCCCGCCCAACCGCGCCGCTTTTTCTCCTCCTAATAATTAATAAACGCGCCAAATTTAACACTTTCTCCGCGGTGGGTAGTCCCTCCTCTTTACCGAAAACGACGGCCCCTAGTGTTGAAGGGTCGGCGGCTACGCCACGGCGCCCGCCGCCCTTCCGTCCTACGCGTCGATCGATGTCGTCTCTCCCCCTAACCCCAAAGCGCCAATTCGCCGGCGCGTTCTTTTCGCGCCGCCAGTTATTTAATTCTCCCTCCTTTAATAAGTACGTGCGTGGAGCGCGCGCCTAATTTGCCGAATAATTTGCGCGGAAAAATTAAAAGTAGGAAAAAGGAGCGCTTGGGAAGAGGCAAAAAGTGGAGGCCCGCTTCTCCGTCCAAATACTCGCTGGGAGAAACTACCGACTAAATACTAGCGCGTACATCGGGGCGGGCGGTAACCTTAGTGAAAGTAGTCACCATAAATTTTCACATCATCCTACAAATTGCTTTGTGCATTCTAATTACCGATAACACTAAACAGGCTTCTCTGCCTCTCTCGCTCTCTTTTCTAATCCTCTCGCCCGTGCGCCTGCGCCCGCGCGCCAACCGCCGGTGCGGAGAGGTGAGGAAAAAACCCCAGATTTTCCCGGGGAAGGACGACCGGAAGCCAACTTTCGATGTCGACG